TGTGTGTGTGTGTGTGGGGGGGGGTGTTCAGGCTAGTCATGGAAATTATACAGTCAAGAACAGTGCAGTGCGTTCTTGATATAGCTAGGTTTGTAGGCCTTTTCCAGCAAAGCTGCAAATATTGTTTTTTGTTTTGCTTTGTTTTGTTTTTTCTTGTTTTCTTGTTCGGCTATGGTATTCTGCCAGGGTGTCACTTCGAACATTTTTTTCTGAACTCCAGATTCTGTGAAATGTTTCAGAGTTTTGTTTGGTTTGTTTTTAGTTTTAAATTCCTCTCATTTATATCAACGTATTTGAGTAGCCTGCATGGTAGCAACATGTCCTATTTTCCTTTTAGTTCTCTTTCATGAAATCTTTTCTAGTTACTTATTCTTTCATTTCGGCAGAAAGTTTTCAAGTAATTGACTGAGAGTTGAATTGGGTTCATTTCTTTGTGACAAAGTTCGTAGTGTATAGCAGGCAGTCACTCTTCTTTGGGTCTAGTCACTGTTCCACAATTAATTTCTTCGCCCAATTATTGCTCTGTGTTCTGGTCCCGTGGTTTTGTTCCACATCTTTTTAGAGAAATTCATTCAATTTTTGAAGCCCAATTGCATCTAGAGGTTCGTTTTATATCGCCGTAGCGTCGTCGTGGTTCTTACTAATGGTTTTCCTTTTCGCTGTCCATCTTCTGTTTTCGGTTAATTTTTGTTAATAAATACGTGTAGACGCAGACTTTTTTTTCTTAATTTCTTATTTTCTCTTCCCACAAGTCTTTTAATTATTTTTTTAACTCGTAAAAGAAAGCCTTAGCATTTAACGATTCTGTTCTTTACACTCGGTTGCTCTGATCCCTCATATTGTAGCGAGGTCCGTCATGGATCCCTCCTCATACTGTATAGAGAGTTCTTGGATCCCTCGTACTGTAGCTAACGAGGTCTGTCATGGATCCCTCAGCTTATTGTAGCGAGGTCCTGATCCCTCATACTGTAGCGAGGTCCTGCTGCATCTTGCTATCTGTTTGATGCGTGTGCAGCTTGGAGTTTGCCCATCTTCCGTCCTTATATTGGGTTCTTTGCCCGTCTTCTGTCCTTATATTGGGCTCTTTGCCCGTCTTCCGTCCTTATATTGGGTTCTTTGCCCGTCTTCCGTCCTTATATTGGGTTCTTTGCCCGTCTTCCGTCCTTATATTGGGTTCTTTGCCCGTCTTCTGTCCTTATATTGGGCTCTTTGCCCGTCTTCCGTCCTTATATTGGGCTCTTTGCCCGTCTTCCGTCCTTGTATTGGGTTCTTTGCCCGTCTTCT